GCTCCCATCCCCCAGGGCCTGCGTCTCCCCCCCCCCCCCCGCCCGCCCCCTGCCTTCCCCTCTCCTCCCCCCTCTTCCCCCCTTCCTCCTCCCATCCTGGCATCTGTTACTCCCAAGTGCCGGGCTCTGCCCCTGGGCCTCTGCACAGGCGCCTCCCTCCACCTGGAAAACCGTTCCCTCCTCGGCGGCTTCTCGGGGCTGAGGCCTCCGCAGGGCCGAGGTCCTGGCGGGGCCTGGGTGGCCTGGAGATGATCGCTGGGGACCGTGTGGTCTCCGCCCTCAGGCTGTGTGCACCTGAAGTCCAGGCTTGTGTGTCCCCAGTGTGCCCAGCCCAGGGCAGGTGTGCACCTGTGTGTGTGATGTGTGTGTGCCTGTGGTGTGTGCATGCATGTGTGCCTGTGGTGTGTGTATGCATGTATGCGCGGGTGGTGCGTGTGTGCACATGTAGGTATGTGTGTGCATGCATGTGGTGCGTGTGCACACATGTAGGCATGTGTGCATGCATGTGTGCCTGTGGTGTGTGTATGCATGTATGCGTGGGTGGTGCGTGTGTGCACATGTAGGCATGTGTGCATGCATGTGGTGCGTGTGCGCACATGGAGGCATGTGTGTGTGCACGCATGCGTGTGTGGTGCTGGGGAAGGAACCAGGGCTCCCCATGTCACCGTGTCACCCGGCAGCCTCTCGGGCGGACTCGCGCGCGGACGCCGTGTCAAGTGTACCACCGAGGGTTTCAGTGCGTCCCAGCTCTGTGAGGACCTTTCACCCCCTCCCCGCAGGGAGCCATCCCCCACCCATCCTGATCTGTAGACTCCCCATCCTCCCTCACCTGTGCCAGAGCCGCGGCCGAAGGCCAGGCCGTGAGAAGATGGGGGGCGTGCCCCCCCCCCGGTGACGGAGCCATTTGCCCCCATGAGGAAGGGAGCTCTGAGGCCCCCCCCTGGAAGCCTGGCGGCCCAGGGACACAGGGACAAATGCGGCTCAAGGGGAAGATCGGGCCGGGGCCGGGGGAGGGCCGGCAGCACTCTGGTGGGCAGGGCCTGACGCCGAGAAAAATCCAGACCCACGTCCAGCCCCGGGGTTGGACGTCCACCACCCCACCAACAAAGCCACTGGTCACACTGGCCTTTCCCACGCAATCATTCATTCATTCATTCACTCACTCACTCACAGGAACACGTGACTCTAATTAACTAGGTTCCACTAAAGAGAGTACAGAGTCAAAATTCATTCCAGACAGGCGCCGCGGCTCACGGCAATCCTGGCAACTTCGGAGGCTCAGAGCTGAGGATCTTGGTGCAAAGGCAGCCCGGGCACACAAATCCAAGAGGCTCTACTCCCCAATGAATCCGCAAAACGTCCGAAGTAGAGGCGCAGCTCAAGTGGTAGCGTGCCAGCCATAATCAAAAAGCCAAGTGCAAGAGGCTCTGAGTTCAGGCCCTACTTCTATCCCGTGAGCATACACACCCGTGTGCACGCACACACACACACAATCACACCTCTATCATTTTAAATGTTCCACATGGCGGGTCACCTTTCCTTGGGGTAGTGCTGTGATAGCCCCCCACACGCATGCTCAGTGGACAGCGCCCGCTGCTCACCGCCAGCCCCGGGAATCCCAGCCGCTGGCCTCCTAATCCAGGGTGAAAGCCCAGACAGGAGCCCACCAGGAAGAGCCTGTTCCCAAGGAGACTGTTCCCCGGCTCCCTCAGCGGGAGGGGCCTGTGCCCCTTCTCCCTGGCCATGCTGGGAGAGCCAGCCTGGTGCTTGGCCCTTGGTCCCTGGTCCCATCCATGGTCCCCCTGTTACAGAGGAGGAAAAGCCAACAGCGGTCAGGAGCCCGGAGAAGCGCCTTCCCATCCTGCCCCGGGGGCAGGATTTGTGTCTGGGGCTGGCTCTGGGCTGCTCTCTGCATACAGCTGCCCTGACTGGCCTCAGGGACGCTCCCAGCATGCACCTTGGGCATGCCAGGCTATGATGCTCTGAGCAGGACATCTGCATACTCACTCAGCACCAAGTTGAGAGCACATGGGAATGTGGGCAGGCCTGTCCCCCCGCTGGGTTCCTAAGCAGCTCCCTGGGGTCCGGACGCTGGTCCAGGGTCCTCCATCATGAGACATGTATAGACCAGTGGTGTTGACAACGGCTACCCACTGGAATCATCTGGAAGCTTTGGAAAGCTGCATTAGAAGGCCCCAGCGCAGACTCACACCTGGGGGTGAGGGGTGGGCAGCTAGCTGCCTGGGTTTCACACTCCCCCGGGTGATTACAACCTGGAGACAAGGCCTGGGGACAGTGGCCTCAAACCGCTCACTCAGTAATCCAGGGTGGCGGGAGACCGTTTCCAACCCTCACCTCACTTGTGTAGCATCCATGGGCCACATCTGAGTACAAAGGTTCTGGAATGGGTCTCCCTCCCTCCCTCCCTCCCTCCTTCTCTTTCTGGCTTCATCACTAGAGTGCTGGCAGAAAAGGCAGCCAAAGTTACACCTGCTCCCCGGTACATGGGTGCAGGCTGGGCATGCGCAAGGCCCCGGCACTCAAGGGTCTGCTAACACCTTCCAGCAGGTGGCAGTAGGGTATTGTATTTTAAGGAAGGACGCGGTGCCGCACAGCTGCCCCCGCACAGGCCCTGACACAGCTGCAGGGAACAGCAGCCAGCTTGTTTGTCACTTTGAGAAATCACTCTGGCTAGGTATTGTGATTGGCGTGCTTGTGATTTCAGCCCTGGGGAGGCTGGGGCAGGAGGATCACACGCTCCAGGCCAGCCTCTCCGCAGCATACAGAATCTCCAGTGTTGGAGATTCTATCTAGCTGCAGAATGCACCAGACAGAGGCTTTCCTCTCACCCCAGACCTCTGGTGAACACCAATCTGTGTCCTGTGCCCATGGATTCGCCCATTTTGGATTTGGACATTTCACATACATGGAATTATATTGTGTGTGTGGGCTTCTTTCACTCAACACAATTTTGGGGCTCATTAGTGACACAGAAAAAGTCAGTATCTCATTCTTTTTTATGATCAAATCATATCCCATTATTTTTCTATTTTTCACATGTATTTACCATCACTTGGTGGACGATTGGGTTATTTCTGATGCCAGGCGCCTGTGGCTCACACCTGTAAGCCTAGTCACTCAGGAGGCTGAGATCTGAGAATTTTTTTTTTTTGGGGTCCAGTTGTGGGGCCTGAACTCTGGGCCTGGTCGCTGTCCCTCAGCTCTTCAGCTCAAGGCTAGCGCTCTACCACTTGATCCACAGCGCCACTTCTAGCTTTTTTCTTTTTGCTTATGTGGTGCTGAGGAATCGGACCCAGGGCCTCAGGCATGCAAGGCAAGCGCTCTACCACTGAGCCACCTTCCCAGCCCTGAGGATTAAGTTTCAAAGCCAGCCTGGGCAGGAAAGTCTATGAGACTCTTATCTCCAATAAACCAGAAAACCGGAAGTGGTGCTGTGGCTCAGGTGGTAGAGTGCTCACCTTGAGCTGAAGAGCTGGACAGCACCCAGGCTCAGAGTTCAAGTCCCATGACCGACCAAAAAAACAAAACCACACAACCCAAAAATTCTGATGTGGCCGGACTTTGGGGGCTCATGCCTGACATCTAGCTACTCAGGAGGCTGAGATCAGGGAATTGCAGTTCAAAACCAGCCCAGGTAGAGAAGTCTGAGACTCATCTCCAGTTAATTACCAGAAAGCTGGAAATGACTCTGTGACTCAAAAGTAGTAGAGCACTAGCCTTGAGCAAAAGCGAGCTCAGGCCTTGAGTTCAAGCCCCAGGACTGGTTTAGAAAACAAAACATCTCTCCCCACCCCAACTGATGTGAATCAATCACGAGTCTTAGGTGTAGGTATCTGTAGGAGCTGAGTTCTGCACGTGTTTGCTTTGGCAGATGTTTCCAAAGTGGCGGTCCATCTTCCATTCCCGGCCAGCGAGGGGCAGGAATTGCAGACACCGTGACCACCGGCCCCTCCCAGGTCCCACTTAGACTTCTACTCTGGGCTGGGGGTGAAGATGAAGTAAAGGCTCTCGAACATGACGTGTGGCTGCCCAGACGGCCGTGCCGCTCGAGCCCAGGCCCACGGGGGAGGCTCCCTTGTCTCCTGCGGCCCCTGCACTGGGAGTGCTGAGCCACTGGCATCCCTGCTCGTGCCTGCAGTGCAGGGGCTGCGCTGGGGCTGGGGGAGGTGGGGTGCATGGAGCTGGGTGGCCGGAAGGGCCAGTCAGGGGCGTGTTCCTGTCCTCATGAGAGGCCCGGGCAAGAAGATGAGGTTGCTGGGGCAGGAGGGCCGGGCTGGGACTGCAGGCATACTAGGCCCATCACTGGGTAAGGGGGACACGCTGGAAGGGAGAGGGAAGGGAGCTGATGGTTAGGCCTAGACTGTGGGCCCCAAGTGTCCGAAACGCAGAGCCACAGCTGGGCGCTGGTGGCTAACATCTGCAATCCTAGTTATTCAGGAGGCTGAAAGCTGAGGATCTGGGTTCAAAGCCAGGCCCAGGCAGGAAAATCCTTGAGATGCTTATCTCCAATGAACCACCAGAAAACCAGGAGTGTTGCCGTGGCTCAAAGTGATAGAACATTAGTTTTAAGCTAAAGAATTCAGGGACAGTGCCTAGGCCCTGAGTTCAAGCCCAGCGACCAACAGGAAAACAAACAAAAAAAAGAAACGCAGAGTTCCAGCCTGTAGGTCAGGGTCTGCAGGACGGCAGGCGCGCGGGGAGGGGGCAGGCGCGCGGGGAGGGGGAGGGGGCAGGCGCAGGAGGGGGGAGGGGGAGGGGGCAGGCGCGGGGGGAGGGGGAGGGGGCAGGCGCGCGGGGAGGAGGCAGGCTGAGCAGGGCCGGGGGCAGGCAAGGCGTGGGGATTTGTCACGGAGGCGGTGGGAGTGTGGCAGGGGAGGTGGACAGGAGGATGCTGGGGGACCTCAACGGGGTGCTGGGCCTGCCCATGGCCTGGGATCAGGGGCCCCCACGCCCCCCAAAGTACACAGAGAGACCAGCCGTCGATGAGTCACTTACAGTTTATTTTTGCCTGAAAGTATTTCACATCTCTTTGTACAGCTACGTGACAGTAGTGGGACCACCAGGAAAAGCAACAGTGCGGGGAAGGGGCTCTTCTTTCTTCTTCTTTTTTAATTTTTAAAAATGTTTTTTGTTTCTGCTTCTTCCGGCACCAGGGTGCTTGCTGTGAAGTACGAAACTGGGGGAAGGGGAGAGTCGTAAACCAAACAGAAAACGACAACAGAAAACAGAACACTAAAACAGAACACACTACACACACATACACACACACACACACACACACACACGTGTGCACACACGTGCACAGGCACACACTCACACACCCACACGGGGGGAAAAAACCTGGCACGTAAAAGTGAATTAGGACTGAAACCCAATTTTGCTCTTGGTGGTGGTTTTTTTTTTTTCCTTTTTTAAAAAAATGAGGGCGTCGTCAGGGGTAATAAAGTCTACCTAGCAAAGTATAAAACGACAAAAGCATGGTTTCCATTGAATAAGATTAAATATTTATAAAACAATTACATCGAAGGTGGGTTCAGCAGGAGGTGCTAGAGGAAAGGGAGGAGGGAGTACTTGTGCTAAACCAACAGAAAAAAAAAAGGGGCTGGGGGGGACCCCAAATAAACCATCCAGGGGCTGTTCTGTACAGAGAGGGCTTGGTAAGAAAAAGCCGACTGCTCATAAAGGACACGAGGTTGGCTTGTCAGGGCGCGGGGGGCATGGTGGTCAGGCTGGTGGGGCGCTCTCTCTCCTCTCCGAGACCATGCAAGAGGCCGGCATGCGTGAGGGCGGGGGGGGGGGGCGCACATGACGGAGGGCCACAAGTCTCAGTTAGGACAAGGCCAGGGAAGGCCAGCAGGGACTGAGCTGGGGGGGGGCAGCTCTACAGGGGGCGGACAGGGGTGAGGGTGAGCACCCCTCCAAATCGATAAAAGGGGGGAGAGAGGAAGAGTTTGGGTCTTAGAGGAGCAAGTTGCAGTATGGAACCCCATTTCCTCCCCCCACCCCGAGCCTGACTGCCACCACTTGAGGAAGCTGGGAACATTTAGAAATCAGAAATATACAGCAGCAGTGACGCACAGACCACCGGCCAGCATCAGCACACAGAATCGCTACGGAAAAGCAATCAATTCTCCAAGGAGGGACTTCTGTTGTGTTTTTTTTTCCTTTTTCTTTTTTTGTCTGTTTCCTTTAAAAAAATAACAATAACACTAGCACTAACCCGACGGCTGACTGGTTCGTACAGTACTACAGGCTGGGGGGGGGGGGGGGGGGGGTCAAAGACTTCATAAATAACAGCAGGTCCCAGACCTGCAATTTGCCAACGTTTCTTAAATAGGTGCATTATTTAAATCTTATGTACAACAAGAACCACGTTGCATAGCAATGGTGAGGACGCAGGACGGGGGGAGATGGGCTGGGCTTTGTCCCCAGACGCGGGGTGACCTCAGCTCAGCTTGGTGCCTCGGGGAGGCCAGCGCCCCCGCCCCCCCGCCGAGATGGTGTGGGGGTGACGAGACCTTCCCACACGGCACTGAACACAAAGGCAAAGGAAATCCACGAAGGGGCCCGCCTCCCCTCCCGAGCCGCGGAGCCCCTCTGGTTGCCGCGAAGTCCGCGTTCGGTCAGGTCAGAGGTTCCAATTATGAAGCTAAAAGAACTAGGTGGGACTGGGCGCTGCGGTCCCCCTCCCCTCCCCCCTTCGCCCTCCGAGACTCCCCCATCTATCCCGCAGCCGGTGCCAGGTGTGACCCCAGGACCCACTGCTCTACAGCTAAGCAACGTCCCACGGTTGGCGCCATCCCGCGCAGCCGGGCCTTCACCAGGCTTCGGTGTAGCGGACGTCCACCTCCTTCAGGTTAGGGAGCTTGGCCTGCGGGGAACCGGAAGGGGCCTCGTCACACCCCTCCCCGCCAGTCTGCCCTGTGGAAGGCCACCCCGACATGCAAGCTCCACCAGGCTCTGGAGATGCCCAGCGACGCGGGGTCAAGTCCCACGAGCCTGTCCACCTGCTGCCCGGGGCCCTCTGCGCTCCCGCCGGACCCTGGCTTCCCTCCCTCCCGCAGGCCTCTTGTTCCAGGGGCAGCCCCGCCCCGCCCCCCAGACAGCTGTGGCCGAGGGGAGGGAGCACTCACCTTCAGATCCTCATAGGTGTCAGCCGAGAGCTTGGTGCTGTTCATGTTTAAGCTGCAGAGACTCTTCATGGCTGTGCAAGGACAGATGGACAGTGAGTGCATGCCAGCTGCGGCGGATGGCCGGCGGCACCCAGTGGGGACGGGCGGGAGGCTGCGGTGCTGTTCACTCCCCAGGTGGCTGGAACTGGGCCTCTGTGCCCCTGCCCTCTGATGGCTAAACCTCGCCGCACACCTGCCGCCCCCTCCCCCCCCCACGGGCTCTGAGTGGGGAGCGGGACAGCGCCTCCGTCGGGCCGCATCTCAGATCCGCCCCTTCCTAAACCAAGAACCAGCTTGGTTCTTAAGCTGGCTGAGACAAACGTCTCCGTCTGTTCTGGGGTGCCTGAGGGGCCAGGTGGGCACCGAAGCCTGCAGTGGGCATCAGGACCAGTCCTACCTAGAGAGAATGCACTCTCCTGAATCCCACCCCTGCCTCCACGCTCCTCCTAGAGCCCCCCAGAACAGGGCAATGACCCTTTCCGCTAGGCTGCCTCTCCCCCTTTGTATGCTGGCACTGGGGCATGACTTAGGGCCTGGCTTCTATTCTTGCGCCTTTCCACCCAGGCTAGTGCTCTACCACCTGAGCCACAGCTCCACCTGTGACTTTTTAGTGGTTCATCGGCGGTCTCACGGACTTTTCTGCCCTGACTGGCTTTGAACCAGGATGCTCAGGTCTCAGTTTCTGGGTAGCCACTGGTGCCTGGCTCAGACGGGGAGCTCCCCAAGGAAGGTGCCCCGCTCTGCTTTGCTCCCAGCCCCTGGCAGGGACTGGGCGTGCGGCCGGGCACTCACAGCTGAGGGCCAGCAGCCCGGCATCGGTGACTGGGGTCTCGCACAGGTTCAGCACCTGGAGCATGGTGAGGTGTTCTGACAGGAGCCGCAGGCCGGCATCGCCAAACTGTGGGAAACAGAGACCTTCAGCCTCTCCAGCACCCTGCTGGGCAGGGAGAGCAGCGGGCGGGCCCGGCGCTGAGCTGTGGCCATGAGCTTGGGGGGGGGGGGGGGGCCACTCTCCTCCTGAACGTAGGCCGGGCCTGGGGCGTGGGCCAGGGCCTCCCTGCGAGTCCAGGGGCCTTGCGCTCGGCAGGCCTCCAGGCTCCGGTGGGGCCAGCTGACGGGCACAATTTTCCTTCTGCCAACATGGGGGTGGCGTGGCAGGTGGTGTCGGCAGCCCACGACCACTGGCCGTCCATGCGTCCCCCCGCAGCAGGCCCCGCGTCTCCTCTAGCTGCGCTTCTCCCCCACCCAGGAGTCTGCGCATGCCCTTCCCCGAGGCCTCGGCGGTCCCCACTGAGAAATGGGCCACAGCATGTCCTCCACTCCTGCCTGGGGGGAACGGGCACCGGGCTCAGGGACAGCCCTGTGGAGGGCGGAGGTGTGGCAGGCAGGGGGGCTGTGCAGGGGTGGGGAGCAGGGGAAGGGGAGTGGGGGGGTGGCGGCACCTGCGTGGACCACAGGTTGAGCTGCTTGAGGGAGGGCAGCTTGATGAGGTGCTCGGCGCAGGCACTGGTGACGTTGGTGAAGGCCAGGCTCAGGTTCTCCAGGTTCCCGAAGGAGCCAGAACTCAGCAGGCGGGCCAGGTCAGCGTCCTGCAGGGGCAGGAGCGGGGCTCAGGGCGTGCGGTGAGGCAGCGGAGGTGTCGTGGCTGGCGTGAGGCCGCTGCCCCCTCACAGCGGTGTGTGCACGCGCGTGACTGGGAGGCCCGCTGGGAGGGAGGTCGCGCCCTGAGCTCCCAGCACGAAGGAAACCACAAAGCCTGCCTGCAGCGCCAGGCTGCGCCCCGAGGGCAGCCACTCCCGACTCGCTTCAAACTGGAACCCTCAGATGCCCCGAGGAGCGGGGATCGCAGGTGTGAGCCACAGACACCCCACAATCTCTGATGTGTAGCTGCCACCTGGCTGCCCTGAACGACAGCTGCAGGCCAGGTGCTGAACAGGCACAAGGAGATGTTAGAACCTTCTGGAAGGAAGAGCACGTTCTCCTCCACCTCCTACTCCCTCCTGCTGGCTGGGCCTCCTGGTGCACTGTCTTGGCCCTGTCTGGAACCCACACTTCCATCAGAGACCACGAGGAAGCAGACTGTAAGATCCCTGAAAACCCTGGAAACAGCAGTGTCAACACCAATCAACACCAAACTGCAGGGCAGAGATTAGTGATCCAATAGCGTAAACTTGCTACCAGCCGTTATTGTTAGGAAAGACTGGCCGTGTGTGTGTGTGTGTGTGTGTGTGTGTGTGTGTGTGTGTGTGTGTGTGTGTGTGTGTGTGTGTGTGTGTGTGTGTGTGTGTGGTGGACACTGAACCAGGTCCTCATACGTGCTAAGCTGGTGTCCACCCCAAAGCCCCACACACACCCAGCACCACCTGACGGCTTCACCATTTGCTCTCCTGGTTCTTGCTTCTCTTCCTGTACCCCACTTGGCCCTGACAGAGCGCCCCCCCATCACCCCGCCTCTGATGCCCAAGACTCACCGTGGACTTTGAGGGCAGTGTTAGCCTGGTGGGACCGCCTTTCCTTTGCTGCAGGGAAAGCAGATGGATTAGGATGCCATCCACCCGGCCCCCCGCCCTGCGCACCCCCTTCCCCGTCCCCCCCCGGCTCTCATGGCTGCTCTATGCAGACGCAATCCTAAGAAATACAGGTAGCAGTGACACTGTGGCCACCCATACAGAAGGACGCCTCACCGGGCCTGTGGGCATGTGCACAAACGCCCTTTGCAGAGAAGCAGGGGTAGTAGCAAGCCTGGGCTTGTGTTGGGGACTGGTGGCAAGATGGGACAGAGCGTGGCCAGGCCCCTGTGGCACAGCATCCCTCTCCCCGGGCGCGGCTCACCAGCTCCTTGAGCTCCCGCTGGCGGTCGCACAGCTGCTCGTACATGCGCTTCCCCACATCCGTGCTCTCCAGCGTGGAGATGATCTGCAGCTGCGTGTCCTTGTTGTCAATAATGTTGTATTCCAGCATCAAGCAGAGGATCTGTGCAAGCCACACGCACGTCACATGCGTGGCCCAAGAGGGTCCACACACGAGCCCCGTGTGTTGTGTGCACCAGGCACCCCAAGAGCTCACTGGGAACTGGTGTCCCCAGACAGGTGTGCAGAGCTAGGCTAGCGGCCTCCACCTCGCGTCCCCTGGCGCGGCGGTCACGTTGGGTCAACATGCTGGCCAGATCCTTTGCCGGGACTTTCTCCCAGGACCGCCCAGGGGGGGCTCCAGCCCCCCACGGCTCCTCTCTCCTGCTACCTGCTGTAAACCCCAACCCAGCACCTCTGGTCTGGTACTGACGGGCTCAACGCGCATCCAGCCACAGCCCACTCCCCTCGTTTCCAGATCTACTGTTTCAGCCACCCTGACCTCCAACAAGCTTCTCCTCGCCACGGGGCCTTGGCCTGTGCTGACTCGGTGCCTCAGGGGCTCTGACCCCGCTGCCCGGCCGCTTCCATGGGAAACACGCTGTTTTACAGCACCATGCCTGCAGTTCCTTGGTCCCCACCTGAGGCAGAGCTGTCTTCCCACACACAACTAGCTTGGTGACTTGGTACTTGAACTCAGGGCCTGACTGCTTTCCCTTCTCATTTTCCTTCAAGGCTGGCACTCTACTACTTGAGCCACACCTCCACTTTTCAGTTAAGTCTCAGGACCTTTCCTGCCTGGCTCTGAACCACAATCCTCAGATCTGTCTCCTAAGCAGCTGGATTACAGGGATTACAGGCATGAGCTGCTGGTGCCTGGCTAGTGACTCACTTCTAAAGGGCAGAATGATGCCAAGGTGGCGATGCCACCTGACTTCCTGGCTAAGCTGGCGGGCTTCTGCCCTCTCTGGGACTCTGGGGCCTCGAGGTGTGGCAGGCAATCGAAGGGGGAGGAGCAGCACGTGGTCTGTGAGGGGCTTGGGCTCATACTCTGGGCATGTGTGGCTTCCCTAGGTCACACATGCAAATGGAGGCCAGAAGCCCCAGCTGTTCCAACTGTGTCCTCAGACTGGTGTGGGAAGGCTTTGGGAGGACCCCTCTGCCTCCACCCGCCGGTGAGCCAGCTGAACCCCGAGTGAGAAGTGAGCACTGCGGGTGCCCAGCGCCCAGTCTCGTGTGCACAACCAACAAGTGTGGTAGCTCATGCCCGACCTGGCCCCAGGTGTATTACACAGAAGGGACCTGCCACCGCTCCCTCCAACACGCCAGTCACAACTGAGGTGGTGCTCTCGAGCTGGGGAGAGCTGGGCCTGCCCCCCCCGTCCCCCCTCCCACCCAGCCCTCACCTCCACCACCCAGCCCTCACCTCCACCATGGTCTGGTTTCCCCGCAGCGCCAGGAGCATGCACGGGCCCAGCTTGTTTTCCGCCAGGGAGAGCAGGAATTTTTTGGTCTTGTAACAGGAGCCCATGAGGATGTGCACCTGCGGGGAGGAAGGGACAGGTGAGGATGGAGGAATCCACGGCACAGGTCCCTGGGGCCAGCCCTGGCCAGACCCCGTGTGGACAGTGAGGCCCTCAGCGACCACCAGACCCGCAGTGGCTGCGTAGAGACCCCTCCCCACATGGACGTCTTTGAGGACATTCTGCCGAGTGACCAAGGGGACTGTAACAGGCGCACTGGCAGGGAGGAGACGGGACACGGCAGTGGGGCTGGGCAGGAGGATGGTTAGCGCCTGGTGGGCTCTGAGGTGAAGCTGGGATACCAGGAAAGTTCTAGAGACGGTGGTGGTGACTGCTGCACAACATTACCACTGTACTGGGAGTCACTGAGCTGAGAGTTTGCAGGAGGCTAACATGGTAACTTGCTGGTTACATACAGCTCCTGGCGCTGGCACTGTGAGCTCCTGAGGGCGTTTGCCAAGATTGCTTACCCCACAATCCACGCACGTGGCAAGCCTGCCCCCTCCCGGGTTGTCTGGGGATGGGGTGTCTTTCTTTCTGGTATAAGGGGGGTGGGGAGTCTGAGGAAAGGGGACCCCGACCTGCTGTCAGATGCTATCAGAGCCGGGGAGACCGCTTCCCCCGCACACAGTATCAAGCGCCTGCTGTCTGGTCCAGGGCCCACTTCCTCATCGTGAATTTCCATGGAAACAACACAGCTCCATCTCCATGGAAACAACACATCTCCAGCCCGCTGGCTGCCTGCTTCCTTCCCTGGTGACATTTCTTTCCACGCCATCATTAACAACTCTGGTGTACAAACGGAATCTCTCAAGCTGGGAGACTGCCAGCTCCTAGCGCTTGCAGCAGTCCCCGCCTGGAGGGGCGGGGCACGGGGCGTTGCCGTGGTAAGCGGTGACATCAGAGGGGAGGCCACAGAGCTGGTGGAAGGTGGTCCAAGTGCTCAAGGGGGTGCGATTTTGGGGGGTGCACCGAGCAGTGGGCGAGGAGCCCCGTGGAAACAGGTGAGGGGTGCTGAGGGGGGAGGAAAGGGACCTGAAAGTCCACTACGAGTGCGTCCAGCGGCGGAGCCTCAGTTTGCTATGACCGCACAAAGATCTTCCCTAGACTCACGATGGGGGCAGTGGAGACGAGGGTCATCAGGCCCAGGGCTGGGGAGCCCACGCGTGGGCAGCACAGACTCGTACCTGCTGCTGTGGGAAACTGCTGTGGTTCCCTTGAGGGGTCAACCGTGCTCCCTGCGGTGCTGATGAGGACACCGAAGCCCAGAGAGGCAGGTGACTGCCCAGGGAGCAGCTGTGGGCGGCTGGGCCACGACCCGAGCCTGGGCAAGGCCAATACCCACTTCCTTTCATAGGAGTTTAAAGGGACCCTCACTGTTAGAATGAATGGCGCTGGTGGCTCTGTAGTGCCTTCTGGAATCCAGCCGCGTGTTGCCACACCCAGTCCTTTGCACAAAACACGAGTGCGACAGGTAACTGTGGCTGAGGCAGGCGGTGCCTGGGCCTTCAGCGGCCTCATCTATAAGACGGGGGACGGTAAGCGCCCTAGCTCCGGGAGCAGGGGGAGCGTGGGGGTGTGGGAAGACGGCCCGTGGGTCAGGTGGACAGGCGGGGCTGGCAGCTGTGTTCTTGGTGAGCAGCAGCTCTGGGGGAGGGTCGAGGTTGGCGGGGAGACGCTGCCGTCCCGAGGCCCGCGCTGCGTACCATGCTGGCGAAGAGCTCCCCGTCATCGTCACACGCCACCCCTCCGGGGCTGTACAGCTGGAACCAGCCATCTTTGCCGGCCCGCACGCTCAGCAGGCACGAGTGGACCTGTCGGGCAGAGACGCGACCCGGTGACACCGTGACCCAAAATCTGCCCAGGAAAATGTCCACCAGCCGAGCGGTTAGGAATGTGTGTCACTTCGTTCAGCTGTGGGATTCCAGCCTACAAAGTTCCCTTGGGGTAGCCTGGAGACCCTCCCCCACAGGCACCAGTGGCTCCCAGCATGGAGGCCAGGCCCGGCTGGGTAGTAGGCCCGGGGCAGTGCTGAGGCCTCATCGGGACAGGGCCACCCAGGGTAAACTCTGCTTGAAATTCAGCCCCAGGGCTGTTCCTCTCTTTTCTCCCCCCCCTCGCCCCCCCCTGCGGTTCTGATGACTCGTGTGCAACACCGCACCCTGCTAGTAGCTTGAGTCTCAGGTTGGTCTCAAACCACAACCCTTCTAATCTGTGTCTCCCAAATAGCTGGGATTACACATATGAACCACTGTGTCTGCGCTGTCCCTCAGCTCTTCAGCTACTTCCGGTTTTCTAGTGGTTTATTGGAGATAAGAGTTTCACGGACTTTCCTTGCCCAGAACTTTGAACTGTGATCCTCAGATCTCAGCCTCCTCAGTAGCTAGGATTACAGGCGTGAGCCACCGGTGCCTGGCTAGGCAATGGGCTTTTTGTACTTCCCAGTAGCCGGAAGACAAGTCAATACTGACTGACATACTTTCCTCACAGGAGTAAGGACTCAAAGACTAGGAAATGCCACTCGACAAATATGGCACAGAATTAAAGTAACAATTCTAGCTTCACTTAAGGAGAAAGAAGGGGGAGGGGGAGGGGAGGAGAGGTTCACAGGGCAGGGGGCGGAGGGCCAGGAGGAGGACGGGCTCAGGTGCTACCTCGGACAGCTGCTCCTTCCTAAAGCTCCGCCCCCTGAGGACTCACGCGTGTGTCCCTGGCTCGGAAATTTCCCTTCCAGAAGCTGCCTCTGCTGCTCTGTTCTGGAAGCTGCTGGCCCTACTTTTGTTCTTCCCACTTCAAGGCTGGCTGGTGCTGGCATTCTGAGAATCTGTCTCTTCACACGTGCTAAGGAATGACTTTGGGTGAAAGCAAGGACCATGGCTGGAGCCCAGCCTTCCAATGCCTTCCCTGTCACACAGCACTGCTTCTGAAACTGTTGTGAGCAGCACCGTGTTTTAGAACTAGATCCTTCTCGAAGCAAGCTTTCCGGTGTGGCTTTAGAGACCACGTGAGAACCATAAAGAATGCTTGTTCAAAACCCAGACTCCTTGCCGGCCAGACAGACCCAGTGACCTGGCTGGACCGTGAGGGCGACGGACGAGAGCCTGTCTTGCTGACAAGCACGACCCGGGGCCCACCGAGCGCCCAGACTGCGCTGTGAGAAGAGGACGGGGCTGTGTGGCCAGGCCCGTGAGCTTTGCGTTCAGCCTGGGCCACGTGCCACCGGGCAACCTCAGGGTGGCGATGAGCCTCCATTTTCTCAACTCTGAAAGGGGGGCAATTGGACAGAAAAAGGGGGTCCGGCCGGGAAGGGCCTGCTCACAGGCTTCTCGTGAGGGAATTACGGGAACAAGCCCACACCACACAAAACAAATTCAAGGCCAGGAGAGCACATCAGCGCGGCTTCTGAAAGGCAGTGTGGCTCCTCGGGGAACCCGTGGCCACGTGACCCAGAGGTCAAAAGCTGCCCCAGAAGCCAGGCACCAAAGGCTCTGATCCTACTCAGGAGGTTGAGATCTGAGGATCGTGGTTCGAAGCCAGCCCAAGCAATAAAATCTAAGAGACTCTCCAACTAATTAGCAAAAAGCCAGAAGTAGAACCGTGGCTCAGGCGGTAAAGGGCCAGCTTTGAGTAAAAAAGGTACGTGAGAGCGTAAGGCGCTGAATTCAAGCCCATGCCTGCACCAGAAAAAGAGAAAAGACCAAGGCTCACCTCCTGTCGCGGGTCTTCCGCAAACCTCTGAATCACATACTTCAGCTCCCTGGAAGAGAGGCGGGCAGAGCGGTCACAAGGCCGGGCATGGCAGAAGCCAGAGGCACGGGCCAGGCAGGTCCAAGGTGTACTTGGTGCTTCCCGGGGACGCCTGGCCACGCGTGGACTGGGGGTGTGTGTGCAGAGGTGGGGGTGCAGGCGAGCACTCAGAAGGAGCCGCTGTGGCCTCCCACGATGCAGGCGGTCCCCAGCAGACTGGAAGGAGGGTGACCTCACGGTGGGGACACTAGGACTGGGAGAGGGTGAGGAGGGTGCGGCCTGCATACTCACTTGGTGAACTTCTCGTGTGCGAGGGCTCTGCATAGAAACAAAGGGAAAAGGCGTTAGCGGGCCTCGGCACAGCCCGGTTCCGGTTTCCTCCAGGGACGTCTAGACTTTACGTCTGACTTGAAGAATGAAAGGGAAATTGAGAATGAAATGCTCACGTTTTGTGCCTAGTCTAAGCTCCTGAACAAAGATCTCCTTGGGTGGGAGGCGAGGGTGGTAGTGATACAAACACATGGAGCCCCCCACACCCCAGAGCCACCACCGCGACACACCTGTCAACACCCGCAGCGCTAACCCGGAGCGTGATGCACCCGGGACACGTGTGGGCTCTGGGGACCCAGGTGTGTTCGTTAATTGTTCCACAATTAAGGCACAGCCACACTAATGACTGGCGCACGTCAGCAGGCACTCAGGGACCATTCTTCCAGGCGCATTGCATCATGGGCCCGTCAAGTGTGCCCAGGCCTGTGGGGACAGCGGCTGCAGCCTGCGGTACCACGGCCCTTGCGACACAGAGCAGCTCTCAGGAGTCAGATTTCTCTGGTCTCCAGTCCCGGGGGCCTCCAGGGAACTGGCGGGGCCAGCAAATGGGGCAATTACTGAGTGTAATGCCCTCCTCGGAGGGGCCGCATTTCATAAACAGAGGCTTGTTAATGGGCTCCGCAGAGAGCCCCGGCCGCCTCCTGGGGCCTGGCTTCTTCCAATCTATCTCAACAGAGCCCCAGCGGCATCTGAGGCGGCGACTCGGACCCGGCCTCCTCAGGCCCGCACTCACCACGGCTGCGCCTGGCGCCTGTGGGAAACTCAACACCGGGGTGAAGGCCAGTGAGAGGAAGACAGAGGGGCCGTCTCTGGCCAGATCAGAAGTGCAACACGAACAAACGGTGGTAGTGAGTGCAGGGAAGCTTCCAGCATTCACCACCCAGCATGGAACACGACTCCACATGCATTATGGGTTTTTTTTTTGAGGCACTGTAGCTCAGGCTGGCCTGGAAACTCCATAGCCTCCTGCTGCAGGCTTCCAAATGCTAGGATTACAAGTGTGCACTACTCTACCTGACACATTATCTTTTGCCTTTTTTTTTTTACCTTTACCGTCTTCCTGGGAGACAAGAGGAACAAATATTACTGGTCCCTGCTGAGGCATATTCAAAACTGTGTGTCCGTCATGGCTGGATGGGGAGGGTCTGGAGGCCTCCTGAGCTCAGTGCGTCCCTGGGACTCTGCCACATTCTGTGTGGCCCTACTTTTCCGAGTGGCCCCAGAGCCAGGCTATCCCGTCCGTGGGTCATGGGGTCTCCCCACAGTGACTTGGTGTGTTTTTTGAAGTGCAGCCCCCGCAAGGAGGTCTCTTCCATGGGGGAGGGGAACTTACTCTTTGGGGAATGGAATGGGTTGAAGCAAGCTGGCCAGGGACGGTCTCCAGTCGTCGTAGTCAGACCTAGAATGAGAAAGGGTGGCGGTGAGGAGTGGCCATCCAGGGAGTGCTGCCTAGCAGCTCCCTAAGGTGGAAAAGCCTGGGGGAGTCCCTTGGCACCGTCTCTGCCCCTCCCCGCTGGCTTGGAGAAGCCTTGTGCTGTGCATCTGAATGGTGGCCTTCGGTGCACGCACTTGCACCTACCCCACGCGACAGGCTCTCCACAGGTTCCCCATCTTTCTGGCTTTGGGGCATTGGCTGAAGTGGGAATACAGACGTAGTTGGTCCCTGGCCCAGCCTGGCACCTCGCAGGACCCTCGGGGAGGATGGGATGGCCACCGGGACATCTCCACACAGTCACAGAACAGTCCCCCGCATATTGCCCCGCAGCAGCCCAGGGAGGGGCTCAGTCTCATTTGCGCAGCCCTAGGCTGGGCGCCAGCCTGATGGGTGGCAGGTGCTTGGGGAGAGGGCTGCAGAACCAAAGGCCCAGGGGCCAGAGACAGCCCAGGGCAGCATGCAGGCGCAGCGCAAGAGCGTGCCAGCCAGCCTCTGCCACGTGCTTGGGCAGGACAGGGGTTGGCTCCAGGGGCAGGGCAGATCTGCCCAGTGGCAGGGCGGAGGGCTGACTCCTGCTCCTGTGACCCTAAGCCTCCTTTACATCCCATGTGTCACAATCTGCCATCCTCTTCCAAGGAACCGCCCTGACATCTTCCCTAACTTCCATCTGCCCTTCATACACAGTTTTCAGACCTCTGGATAGTCTGCCCGTCTACGTGCCATCCATCGACGGGGCTTACACTGAAACAGAGTAAGGTAATTTTCCACCTCAGGACAAATGCTCGCGGTCACGGACAATGTCATAACCCCAAAGTGAGGGGTTCTCCCCACCCTACCTTCCTCCCCAAGAAAGGGCAGTCTTCAGGCCAACTGAACTCCGGGTGGCTCTGAGGAAAGGCCCAGAGGCGGATGCATGGAAAAGAACTGCCAGGAAACCCTAGTGGCCTGAGATAAGTTGCAAGAATGATACAAACCGACATCAACTAAGCATGTGCTGTGCCAGGCGCTGGGTGTGTGAGGGGGAGAGTGGGTGCGGGACGCGCGTGTGTGTGTGCGCGCACGCGCGTGTGCAGGCAGTGGGAGGGGCTGCCTGGACTATGCCCAGGAGCCTCGGGGGTGCGCCCCTGTCGTTAGCATCTGTTTTCACAGCTAGCTTGCCCACTGAACCAACAATCTGCTCCTTTCTTTTTCTATCTGTAACGGATCCATAGGATTCCAGAAAACCTAACATGGCTCTAGTGCTGTCTGTGAGTCCCAGCTCTTCAGGCCTTACCATGCGACAGGTGGCTAGGATGCCCCGGCCAGGGCCCTGAGCCCACCGAGGCATCTTTCAAATCTGGTATCGACTTCCCAGGACTGCAGTACCACTCAACAGAGGATGCGGGTAGCCAAGCAAGGCCAAGGCCCCGAGGTCCCCTTCCACATGCCCTCTGAGCCACGGCAGCTCCTCACTCCGTCACGTCTTCTAGGTGAACTCCCAGGCAGCGCTGCAGGACTCTAACGGACAGCCCGAGCTGCACTCGGGCATCTCCCCCCCATCCCTGAATCCTCACAGCAGACCTCCGAGGAAGGCGCCGGGAATGCTGCCTACAGCTGCTCAGCAGGTAAGGAACACGGCCACTGCTTCACACTCACATGGAAGTTTCTAGCAATCCACATGCACGCGGCCGCCATCCCGGTTTTGCCTCTTTTTCCAAATGCTGCTGTTAAATCGTCTTGCTCTCAATGCTCTCTTAGGCCAGGAAACACGCCTGCAGTCGGCACTGTAACCCCCGTGTTCAGGGGGCCTGTCCTGGGCTGCTGGCTGTGCCAAGGCAGCCACACGCATCACCCCGTACATCATGAAATAGGATGTGCCACGGGGGGGGGGGGGGGGGGGAGGGTAATGTACCTAGTGAGACCCAGCCTACATCTGCTGCTCACACCTAACGTGCCTGAGTACATGAAAGAAGCTTCTAGAAGCTCACACCCACTTGCAGAGACCTGGCGCTGGGTGTGAACTGCTGCTTTGAGCAGGGGGCCAACCCCACCCCACCCTGGCCAGGGACCGAGTAGTTTCCGGACTGTCCCAGGCTCCATCTGTCCTGGCCCTGTGGTATAGTGACAGGAGGAACAGACAGAGTCCTCATTCATGAGCGTGTGCGAAGAAGGGAAGAACGTGTCAACTGTGCGGTGACACGTACAACCCAGTGCTCGAGGAACCTGGGAGTCAGGACCTGGGCACACCTGGGGCTGGGCCCCAAGGGGCAGGAGCTATGCTCCAAGAACCCGGACTTGTTCCTGGGCTGTGACCTCCCCCACGAGCGGACGGCTCCCTGCCTTGAGGGAACTCGGAGCAGATCTGGCCAGGGAACCCCAGCCCACACCGACTGCAATGAGGGGCGGGCTCTGGGGAGTGACTGGCCTCAGACACGCACCCTGTGTCAGGAGGTGGGCAAGCGTGGTGTCAGGAGATGGGAAGGCACAGCCCTTACTGAGACTCCTTAGAGTCCAGCAGCCGCCGCCGACTGCATCTAATTGTGTGAGTGCAGGTCTGAGGCCCCCTCCCCCGCTTTCCATCAGGCAGCTGAGGCATGGGCTGGGCAGGAACAGCACTGAGTTCAGAGGCAGCATTGCCAAGGGCATACCATAATCTCACCCCCCTCCCCGCCTCTGAGGAGCTGCCAGACCTCGGCAAGGTCTACCGGAAGACTTTTCTTAGAACACATACAATGTATACACACAACTCCTCAGACAGCCATGCACAAGTGCCCAGACTTCTACGCTCCCTGCATAAAGAACCCTCCGCTAATAGAACGTGCACCTGTACACAAATTCACTTAACATAAATGTCACACACCACACGAGTGTGCATGACTCCTATAAAACAGAAATATGTACACTGATTCATAGACATACACAGGGAGACCTGTGTACATCCCACTTCTGTGGCAAAAATCATGCACACACACACGTGCTTCCCCCCCCCCCACAGGCCACTCAGAGAAGTCCACGTGCATGCCCACATCCAGTTCACACCCATGCACACCACAACCAGAAGCTCAGAGCAAACCCGCACGTACAGCACACTGTGTGGCAATGTCTTAGACGTGTGAGTACCACAGGCTCCTGCACACTCAGACACGCGCACACTGTGCACACTAGCATATATAATGCTTACAGAGGCAGCTGCACACATGCCCAGACCCTCAAACCCGGTGCACGACCCTGGGTGCTCCCACTTGTGCACACTTCCACACAACCAACTTCATTTTTATTGTTCTGTCAGTCACGGGGCTTGAATTCAGGGCCTGGGTGCTGTTCTGAGCTCTTTTACCACTTTGAGACATACCATCACTTCCGGTTTTCTAGTGGCTCAATGGAGGTCAGAGTGTCACAGATTTCTGAACTATGAACCTCACGACTGGTTACTGGTGCCTGGCCCCACACTCCCACCTTGAGTGCGCAGACACCACCACACCTTAACCATGCCCACCTCCACTTGTGGTAATCCAACGGGTGAGGCGGCCCCGGGCAGCAGAGCCAGCCCCAAGCCCCAGCCTGGGGAGGGCGGTGGTACTCACAGCAGCTTGAGGATCTCCACGTAGCAGCCCAGGGTACGGTCGGCCTGCGGGCCCAGCTCGATGCTCATGGTGCTGCAGGTGGGGCTGACCATGAGGCAGTCGATGAGGTTGGGCTCGCTGTCGTTGCCGGCGCTGGCCGTCAGCGCTGGCTTGGCAGTGCTGGTGCGCTCCACCTCCACGTGGATCTCGCTGGAGGCCACGACCACCGACTTGAGCCGCGCCTCGGACAGCGTGGCTTCCTGAGACACCAGGTCCGGACTGGGGTGCAGCAGGCGCAGAGGTAAGGTGGGCTTCCGGTCACACGGCTGCTGGCAGCCGTTCCGGATCTCCTTCAGGCTAGGGGAGTTGTCACGGCTGGGAAGAGGGGGAGAGGGCGGTGAGCATGGGTCCCGCTCAGTGATCAGAAAGGCCAGCACAGCACAGCACAGCAGCAGTGGCTCACACCTGTGACCCTAGCTACTCAGGAGTCTGAGATCTGAGGACTGTGATTCAAAGCCACCACAGGCAGGAAAGTCCATGACATTCTTATCTTCCAATTAAGCAAGCTAGATGTGGAGCTCCTCCCCCCATGGCCTCCAGCAGCCAGAGGGGCGGTTCTTGCCCTGGTGGCAAATGGGTGGTAGCAGGAGACAGGGTTCTTTCGGCATCATTAATGTCACAGATGTTTGAAACACAGTGAAATTAGGCTTCTTTACAGTGGGACTTGTCAGAGACTTGATCTGGTAAAGTGTCTCCTTCACCAAGTGTTTCCTGGCTCCCTGGGCTGTGCCCCAGCTGGCAGTGCTGTGCTGCCGCACAGATGAGACCAGTCACCATCTGAGGGAGATGACAGGTCAGAAGCACCGGGTGAAGGGGCCTGCCCTCAACCCCAGGGCTCAAGTCCACAGCTCTGAGCTCAGGCCAGATCTGCACAACCCCAGCCCCTTCCATCCGTAGGGCCTTCCAAAGCCCCTAATGCCCCAGAAAATCCCTTCGATTTCTTCTTCCTGCCCCTGGCATTCTCTCTGGTTACCGGGCCCCTCAACACCCCAGAACCTACACACTCTGCATCTCTGGGTGAGGCCTGATGGGAACCATTTCCAGAGGTTCAGACTCTTGAGCTCCACACAGTCCTGAGCACCATGCTTGTGACGGAAACAGTGGCCTACCCAGGTCTTTCTCACCCAGGCCACGTTGTGCCCTGTGCCCCGAAGGGCAGCAGATGTTCCAGGGTGCAGGGCGGGCTACGCGATGGCGCTCTGTGCAACAGCTCCAGGGGCCGTGTGCAAAACTCAAGAGTCTACACAGAGGGAGGCTCAAGCTCATCCACACCTGCTATCAGCCAGGGCTGGGCCCGGCCCACCAAAGGAGTCGAATAAATATACTGTAAACACGCCTGGGGGAAAAAAATAAAAATCCACTGGCTAATACGGAGAATCTCTGGTGGGCGGCAAGCTGTGTGTGGTCTGGGGAGGGGGGGCGGGGGAGGGCAGGGCGGCTGCAGCTTCTCCAGTTCAGACCTCATTTGCTCCCCAAACGCCCACACTCCATTCCTCCGGGTTTGCCGTTGCTGTGTTTGGGAGTGGATTGTTCAAGGCTGTTTGGGCTTGAGAGCCACACTAACCTGGGTCACGCTGTCTGTTCCGAATGTGGGTACACCGTGTGCTCACGGAGAGCACAGCGGAGGGCTGAGGACACTGTGGTTTTATCTGGGCAGTACTGACCAATGGAGCACGGGGGGCCCGAGCCTGGGAACACCCCAGCAGCCCCTAGCTTCTTAGGAGACAGCCAGGAGAAGGGAACAGTTATCAGCTGAGACCTGAACAGCTGACGGCTGGCTCTGCCGAGCCTGGCGCTGAGGCTGGGCTGCGAAGCAGGTGGTAGGGCCGGTCCTGTCCACCCCATGCTTCCCCCTCTTCCACCCGACCGCCCCCATGGGCCTGCCCCGAGACCCATCCTCACCCAGCGGCAGCTGGGGGTGGGGAGAGGCTGGGGTGGAAATGGCTCCGCCTCTGTCTCTTCCTACTGAAAACTCATCAATGCTCACTGAATAAAAATGCTGTCACCGAAACAGCGCAGCCTGGCTGTACAACGTGTGGCTCTAGCCCCAGCCCATGCTGCCCATGCGGCAAGCCCCAGCTTGCTGAACCTGAACCTGCTCCAGCCCTAGGGGCCCTGGGAGGCCGGGGCCTGAGGAGCTCGGTCTGCTGTCTCCCCGTGCCTCGGCCCGCCTCCCTCACCAACTCCTCCTTATGCTTCTCTTCTCAGCTTCAGGATTTTGTTCTGCTCCTCTCTGCAGACGTGCTCCCCTGTACAGACGTCCTGAAGAGTGCAGGATGCAGATCCCCAGGCCAGCATGCTGCTTGTCTTTGTGTTTAGACAAGGTCTTGCTCTCTAGCTCGGCTGGCCTGAGCTCACTGTCTCTATGGCTCAGCTCCCTCCGCGCTAGGACGACATGTCCAATTCAGAGGATTCTGGATTTCTAAGTGGCGGGCCAGGCACTTGAGAACCACAGGTGGAAAAAAAATGTGTCCACCAGAACTCTGTCACCTTTGTATGTACAACTGCCTCTGCCCGGAGCACCCCTCTGGCCTCAGGCCTCGCTAGAGCCAGGAGGTCCCCGCCTCCCACTCACTCAGCAAGAGATCTCCATTCCACCTCAGGAGTTCAACTCGACGACCCTACCACGCCAGGGTGGCCTCAATCAATCAGAATGGCAAGGGGAGCCCTGCCATCTTTTATTTTTCCTAGTATGCTGGGAAGAATCTAGCAACTTTGTCACCAGGACAAAGACTGCCCGATTTTTGGTGCTTGCCAATGTTCTTGCCGTAAATATGCCCACCACCACCACTGACCTCCGGCACTCTATCTGACCGTGGGGCAGGAAGCGCTGCGCTTCCCAAAATAGCAAGGAGCCGGGCACACGAGTCGCGTGCACACAGGACGGCAGTGTGCGTGTGGACTGTGCACACCTCTTAGCCTCATAGCCATCAGCGTGGACTCTGCTGGTGTCTGGGGCTCTCCAGCGATGCCAGGGCACTCTGCAACACCAACACCCTGCAAGCGTCTGGGAGGAGGACTGGAAGAACTCCCTGGGGTACCAGGAGCCCCGAAGCCTCACCCCCGAGCCCCGCCAGAGGCACCAAGGCTCTGGCCTCCACTCCCCGTTATCACACTTTACATTTCTCCCTCATCTTGAGCTTCCTGTGAAACGAACTCCACAGGAGAGCTGGCAGCATGGCAGGCGGAGAGGTGCTCACCAGCACGGCCCCTGTTCTGGCACCACTACCAGTAGTGACACAGGGGACACCCTTTGAGCCCGGCCAGTTTTACTCCGCGTTGTGTCTTTAGCTCGTGGCTGGCTGGCTAGGGGTGCTGGGCTCCGTGTGCGTCACGTTTATTTATCTGTTCTACTGCCGTGGACATGTGACTTGCGGAAGGTTTTGGTTTGGGGCTATTAAAAGTAATGCTGCTATAAACACGTGTGTGCACGTTGATGACAAACAGACCAAAAGACACACAGAAGCGGACACGCTGGCTCACCAGGGTCAGCTTTCCACTTGGTTTTTTTCAAACTTTCACAGGTGGCTCTAATACACAGCCAGCGTGGGGACCCCGCACCTCAGCATATTACATACACGCCCCTGGTCTTTCCAGCCTCACCCCGACCCCCTCAACCCCCTCCAGAAGGCAGGGGCCGCCTGCAGCTCCACTGCTCATTAGCACATGGCCCAGCAGAGACCTAAGCAAGCGGGGATAGGGGAAGACCAGTGTGGCGGCCTGTGGGAGCAGCAGTGAGTGCTCCTGGCTCTGGTTCTCATCACCTCTGACCTTCTAGAGTGCGGCCAAGCATCCTGACCCTGGAGAGCTCCACTCCTGGGCACAGGCAGAGGGGTGCTGCGGGAGGAGCGGCTTCTCCTCTGGTCCCTGCCCCACCCCTGAGGTATTCAGAGCAGCCCAGCACGCGGGCGAGTCAGACGCATGTGAGGAGCTGGGCATGCGGCTCTGTGGGTGTGCGTGTACTCACAGAAGCTCTAGAGGTGCCTGGACAGTGTGGTCCCCTTAAGAGTCCCACAGAGCACAGCCGCCCAGTGACGCTAGATGTCACTGCAGAGTCCCCCAACACTGCTGGCACTGGCATCCTTCTGCACCCACCACAGGAGTGGCCCCAACCAGTGCTGGGACCTCCGCAGCAGGCTACTTGCACCCAGGTCTTAGGCTGGGAGTTTGCTCTTGGGAATGACTCCTAGACCAAAGCCCTCTGCACCCTCTTCTCGGCACTGGTGTCCAGAGCTCACCTTTCACCCACCTTGCGTGCTCCCACAGTGGCTTGCTCTGCAACTGCCTCGGGAAAACGTGACCCTGCAAGCGTCTCCCTCAAGGAGACCAGCTGTCCTCAAGGCTGAAGCCAGGCTGCCTGCACCCGGGCGCAGAACCTCGAGCCACACCCTGCATTCCCAGTGCCCCTGCCTGGTGCGCATGCACGTACCTGCCCATCTGCACGCACCCCCAGCATGGTTCTCCTGTCTCTCTGTTATAGGAAGCTGCAGCATTGGATGCTGGTTCCTGTGGCTCAGGCACAGTTCAGCCTTGTAGTTACTGGTGCCCATCAGGGTCTTTTTTAATGCCTCAGGACTGAGTCCTACGCCCTGAGAGCAGCCTAGCCCAGACACTACCCGGACAATCCCCTAGGCGAGGTGTGCCTGTGACAGGGGAGCCCCACCCCATCCCCCGTCCCCCCATCCCGGTGCTGACCTGTTGATAAACTCTTCGTAGCAGGAATAGATGGCAGCCAAGCACACAGCCACCAGGTTGGGCAGGACCCGGGGGTGAGGGCAGTGGCCCGTGGGGCCATGCATGCTGGAAGAGAGTAGAATGTGGTGAGAGGCTGTGTGCAGAGGTGGGGGGGGGGGGGGAGGGCAGCACCCACTCTGCCAGCACATTATGGAGGCCTTAGAACCCGCCATGCTGGCTGGTGACAGTCGAGGGCAAAGCTCCAGCTGTGGGTGGCAGGTCCAAGTGCCCGGGTGGCCCGCACAAGCCCCCGTCTGCCCCGGTCTTCCATTCTAATGCGGTCCCCTCTGCAACGGGTACACAAAGAACCTGAAGACACAGGCTCGGGGCCGTGTCCTTGGACTCTTGGTGCTTGGGCCTGGTGGCCACTCCTGGGGAGCCACAGGTCCCTCTATACCCTCGGGTGTGGGGTCTAGGGCAGTCACTCGGGCTTGGCTGGCATGGGGGAATCTCTCTGGGGTGTTGCTGCGGCTCAGGACTGCAGACCATAACCCAGAGGCAGGAAAGACCCTCATGCCACCGGGCACTGGGGGAGACAGTTACATTAGTTTTCCTGGTCCCTGGGTGCCACGTCCTGCTGGGGGATCCTCATGTGCTAGCCTTTACGTGGCGGCCCCAGCAGGGAGAGCCAAGGGAAGAGAATCAGTGCCTGCTCGTGTCACACAGCTGTGACACGGGGCTGTCACTGTAGGGGAAGTGCTCAGGCCACGGCAGTGAGGGGTCCCAGCGGAGACCCACCTCTGGATGAACTTCTTGACCACCTCCATGCCCGCATTGAGCTCGTTCAAGGCGAGGATGTACTCCTGAGTGAACAGCCTAAGACGCGGGCACTTGCCAAAGTCCTGCAGAGAGAGCAGAGGCCGTGAGCTGGATGGCCAGGGCCAGGGCCACTATGGGCTCAGAAGGGTGCAGGCCCCAGCTCTGCCTGGAGCTGGTGTGTGAGGTGGGGAAACAGCTGGGAGGAAGCGCACTGAGGTTTTGCCTCAAAGGTTAACTGTCTCAGCCACACCTCTAGCGGCCTCTGGCAGTCTGATGTCTTGGCCTGGACCTCAAAGCTCTTCTAGGGAGGTCAGAGGTCAGCACAAACCACAGACCTGCTCAGGTCCAGCTCAGCCCCTGTCCACCCCAGGAAGCTGGAAACTTCTTATGCAGTCACCCAAGAACTTGTGGGTTTCGCTTCCAGTGAGCTAGTGTCTGGGCAGTCAGTGCTGCTCAGAGGACCTGGTGTGAGGCCGTCACCCTAGGAAGGATGCTGGACTTCCTATGGGTGTGCCTGGGGGCGGGGAGGCATAAGGGGCAGGGAACCCACATGAACGGAAGGAAGGAACATGTGATGTCAGGTGTTATCAGCTGCAGAGAAAGCGACCCTCGAAAGTCACATGGGCGTCGGCTGAGACGGCTCATGTCTACAATCCTAGCTGCTCAGGAGGCTTGAGATTTAAGGATTGTGATTCGAAACCAGCCTAGGCAATGAGACTCTTAATCTCAAGTTAACCACCCCAAACCCTGAAAGTGAAACTGTGGCTCAAGTGGCAGAATGCCAGTCTTGGGTGAAAAAGCTGCTAGACAGAGCCCTGGCCCTGAGTTTGTCTTAAGTCTCTCTCTCTCTCTCTCTCTCTCTCTCTCTCTCACACACACACACACACCTGTGGAGGGACAGCAAACACAGGCCTATGTATCCCAATAACTTGGGAGCTGAGGCCAGAGGATCTTGAGTTCCAGGCCAGCTTGATCAGATACATGTCAAGGCTCTCTCAAAAACTGAAAAGGCTGGGGCTGCGAATATGGCTTAGTGGTAGAATGCTTGCCTAGCAAGCATGAAGCCCTAGGTTCAATTCCTCAGTACCACATAAAACAGAAAAATCCCAAAGTGGGGCTGTGGCTCAAGTGGTAGAGCACTAGCCTTGAGCAAAAGAAGCTCAGGGACAGTGCCCAGGACTAGCAAAACAAAACAAACTAAAGACACAAAAAGGCAGACAGACAAGATAAAGGAAGGACGGCTGGACAAGTCCAGTGTGTGTGTGTGTGTGTGTGTGTGCGCGCGCGCGTGCGTGCGTGTGGCGTGCGTGTGGCGTGTGTGCGTGTGTGTGCGTGTGTGTGGCGTGTGTGTGTGCACGTGCGTGTGGTGTGTGCGTGTGTGCTGTGTGTGGCGTGTGTGTGTGTCTGTGGTGTGGCGTGTGTATGGCATGTGTGTGTGGCGTGTGCGTGCGCGTGCATGTGTGGTGTGTGTGTGGCGTGTGTGTGTGCGCGTGTGTGCATGTGTGGCGTGCATGTGTGTGGTGTGTGGTACGTGCGTGCGTGTGTGGTGGGTGTGTGTGCGCGTGTATGTGTGTGCATGTGGTGTGTGTGCGCGTGTGTGTGGCGTGTATGTGTGCGCGTGTGTGTGGCGTGTGTGGCGGGAGTGAGGGGGAGAAAGTGTGAAGTGGGTGTGGAGGAAATGGCCAGGGAGGATGGGTGGAGGAAGGACTGGCATGCAGCCCTGTCATCCCCAGCAGGAAGCAGGGAGGAGGGGCTGCGGCTGTGGGGAGGACAAGCGCATGGCCGAAGGCACAGCCTGAGACAAGGCGGCACTCCCAGCCTGGGAGGAGGAGGCTGAATTAAGAGGCTCTGGCCAAGGACAGAGGGCCCCTCCCACTCCAGCTGAGTGGCATAACGAGATGGCGTCTTCGCCGCTTCCCCAACGACCGCATGTCAGCAGGCAGGCCGTGGAGAAGCAAGTGCCAAGAGTGCTTGGCCAGGGGCCGGGGGCTCGGATGGCCAGGAGACACAGGTAAGGCAGGGAGGAGAGCCTGCACTCCTGCCCACCTGTGCTCATTCCCACGCTCAGGAATGAGGAACAGGGCTGCACAGGCCTTCCCTGCACTTCACACATACCGGGGCTGCTCATGAGCAGACAGGCAGAAATGATGTGGATGACCACAGGCATTGGTACCCCTAAATCACCCTCTGTGTCCCTGTCAGTGGACCCACAGCTAGGGTTCAGCTCAGTGAACACACACATACTTGCTCGACATACATGAAACTCTAGTCTTAATAATCCCAGCACTGCAGGGGCGGGAGGTGGGGGTTGGGGGGGTGGGAAGACAGAGGAGAAGCAACCTTAGTTAGGCACTGGTAGCTCACGCCTATAATCCTAGCTAATCAGAGGCTGAGATCAGAGGATCACAGCCTGAAGCCAGTCTGGGGCCGGTCACTCACCATGTTATGCTTGAGGATTCTCTGGACCACAGGGGTGAACACTTCGATGACCACCATGGACCGAGGTCGCTCTCTGCAGTGCTGGGGAGGGAGGGCTACAGTCAGTGGGCATGTGAATCCCTTGTCCCAGGTGACAAGCCCACCCGGCATGTCCCTGTGGCCCTTCTTCCAGGGCTGCCCTTGGTAGATGTCTGAGAACACATGCTAGCCACACCAGCAGTACAGGCCACAGGGTTCCATGTCCCCAAAATCCTGCGAGCCATCACCACCCTACCTCCCCAAGCCAAGGGCCCTTGGAGCCCCGCATCCTGTGCAACCTCCAGGGTCTGGCTTCCCTCAGAACGGCACCCCTAGGCCAGACTACTCTGCAAACCGTTGGTGACTCGGCTGGCCAGATGGTTCTGCAGCTCTGTGATATCTGCATGTACATAATGAGATATCCTGGGGACCCAACTGAGTCTAAAGAAGAGACTTATGATGTGGTTTTACACAGAGCCTGAAGGGCATTTTTAAACTATATTTTCAGTTTGTCGGTGTTTTTTCCTGTGACTTGTCAGGTGCACTCATGTCAGCAATTGGAAGTTAGAATATTCTAGATTTTAGATTCAGGCCAGGTGTGTGAGTGTGCGTGCATATGTGTGTGTGTATGTGTGAAGGCTGTCTCCTCTTGACACCCACAGGGCTTGGGGCACCTGGGTCCTATTCCCGGATGCCTGCTCTGCTGCTCTGCGACAGACACACGGCTCTGTGTCACCAAGCTGTGTTCTAGGAACCAGGGATGCCGCTCCTGGCATAGCTGGGTATGTAGTGTGTAAATCCTGCTGAAAAGGTTGGCGCTGCATCCCTGGGCACGCTTCCCTGCCCCGCAGCTCCTCCAGGCTGACCTGGCACACTCTGCCAGCTTCTCCCGGCCAGGGAAAGCCCCACGGCCAGGCCCCCTCTGTGGGCCAGCCGGTGCTTGGAGAGCCTCTGCTAAGAATAACCCAGCTCTGACGTCAAGGGCCTAGAAAAATCAGCCGCAAACTGCCTCCCAAGACAACTAGGAATATTCCAAAGAAAAGCAGACAATCCCCTCCTGGACCCCTGGGTGGCAACCCTGCTCTTAAACATGTCTGGCAGAGAAGAATGTGGTGTGAGAACAGCCGCCCGCAGGCCGTCCACTGGTGTCTGAGACAGACCCAGGCTGCTGGGCCTGGGCTGTGTAACACCACCCCAGCCCACCTCATCTGGCCCCACGTGTGTGCAGAGGCCTCGTGCAACAGGGCCCCACTGTGGCACCACCATACCTTGCAAAAGAATTCACAGAGATCTGGTGGTGGGTGGTTGTTTTCCAGCAAAGGAGCGATGGCCTGAAAGACACGGATGGACAGACATCAGCCAGAAGGAAAGGCATGGTGGGGCTGGGCGGGAAGGGGCGCAGTGTCTGCAGAGGGAGGCAACTTAAGATGAAAACGCAGCCTCACACACCCATGGTGATGAACGCAACTTCCCGGGCTTCAGAGCCGCCTGGTGTCCACCCAGGTCCCTCAGAACAGAGCATCTGACTGAGACAGCACAGCATCGTGGCCAGCACTAGGCTACGTGTGTGTGTGTGTGTGTGTGTGTGTGTGTGTGTGTCCCTCAGAACAGAGCACCTGACTGAGACAGCACAGCATCGTGGCCAGCACTAGGCTGTGTGTGTGTGTGTGTGTGTGTGTGTGTGTGTGTGTGTGTGTGTGTGTGTGTGTGTGTGTGTGTGTGTGTGTGTGTGTGTGCGTGCGCGCGCGCGCAAGCGCGCACAGGGCCTAGGTGCTGTCCCTGAGCTGTTTTGCTTTGAACTCAGAGCCTAGGTGCTGTCCCTGAGCTGTTTTGCTCAAGGCTGGTATTCTACCACTTGAGCTCCAGCTCTACTTCTAGCTTTTTTTGTTGTTGTTTGTTGCTGGTTAATTGGCGATAAGAATCTCACGGGGGAGGGGGAAAAAAGAGGTCCCATGGACTTTCCTGCCCAGACTGGGATCAAACTTTCCTTACTAGACTGGGAACAAATGTGATCTTGGCTGGGTGAGTGCCAGCTGCTCACGCCTATAATTCTAGCTAACTCGAGACGCTGAGATATGAGGATTGAGAGCCAAAGTCAACCCACAGGGAAGTCCATGAGACTTTTACCTCCAACTGTTAATTACCTAAGGTGACTGTCAGGTCTGAACTGAACCCAGGTCTAACATGGAGCCTGAACCCTTCCTGGCATGCTGCACCCCCCAGGGTGGCTGGGCCCAGGCTGGGGTTTGGATGCCAGGCCTGCGCTGCCCAGTGACACCCCATGCCAGCCAATCGTGGTTTCTATTGATTAGAATCCTTGCCAAGAGAATGAAGAAAGCCAAATCAGATTCCAGTAGAAAAATCAATACATGAAACCCACCAAGCCCCACTAGGGTAACTAACTGCCAATAGGTCAAATATGATAATGTGCTTCCTGGACGGAAGGAGGTCATGATGGTGCCCCGTAGTAATGCTGAAGGAAGGGGGTGTGGCGGGCAGGGTTGACATGTCAGTTCCCCTCGGCTCCCAGGCCTGCCTGCTGGGCAGGGACGCCCAGCCTGACCCCATTAAGGGGTCAGCTCCGTCCCGTAGCTGGGTAATTGCAGCCTGGGTTTCCAGAACAAATTTTTTCCAAGGCTCCTCCCTCTCTCCCCTCCTCCCTGAAGGCAGTCTCATGGGGACAGGGGCTACCACCTCTACCCCGACTCTGCTCAGCCGGGCTCGGCCTCCGCCCGCCCTTCTCCACGGTGCTGTTTTCATCTGTCCTTCACGATAACGCAGGCTCCTCCTCCTGGAAACCCCTGCCCACCCTTACCTCCTCCCAAGAGCTCACTGAGGTCCCCTTAACCGTTCCTCCACGCACCCCCAACACTGACAATGAACCTGGCCCTCGGCCGCGCCCCTGGCGCACAGCCCCCCCTCCTGTCTGCCTGCAGGGCAGAGCCGATTACCCTGCTCAACAAATGTTCGTCCCATGAACTGATCCATGGCAGACACTGGAGAAGGTGCCAGCAGGTGACGGGGCCCGGGGCCGTTTTCCCCATTCCGGCAAGAGAGCGCAGGCAGCCATGATGGGGTGCTGGAATTCTGGCGAGTGCTGGCTGAGCACCCACTAGGTGTCGGGCACTGACACTGCCCTGAACGAGACCCCAGGCCAAGGGTCACCTCTTGCCAGGCTCAGAGTATGACGCTGGGCTCACCAGGCTGAGGGGCGGATGCCCACGACCTTTGCTCAACTGCGAAGAGCCCGAGGGGCCTGAGGCCCTGCGCACTGCTCCTGTAGAGGCCAGGGGAGCTGCTGGGCAGGCTCACTGTGCATCGTCTCCAAGCACCCAGAGCTCCGTCTCTCATTTCCAATTCTAGGTCTGACTCCCAACTTTTCACTTTCTAATGCTTTATGCTCCAGCAATAGAGAAGCTTCCAGAAGACACCAGATTGCTTTAAATCTCTGCATCTTTGCAGAGTTTTGTTTCCTCTTTCCAGATGCCTTTGTTCCATTTTGCTATCTGGCAAACTTCTATCAATCCTTCAAAACCCAACTGAGATGCCACTGCTTCAGGGGAGCTTCCGGGTTCCTTTTTCAGATCACTCTCCCCTCTCTTATGCCTGTCTCTTACATCTGTCTTCCTACAACAGGTGACATGTCCTATATGGTCTGCCTCAGTCACTGTAGGTTCAAGCAGGGCTTGCCTGAAATGGGTGCGATTTCATTTCTGCATTCTCCCTGCCTCGTCTCACAGCTTAAAATTACCCCAGCAGAGCTTCTTCCCCGAGGTGCATCACTGAATCCCAGAAAATAATGTCCTACTTTAGATATCAGAAGGAATTCTGTTCACTGTTGTTTAGGATGGAAGAAGACAGATGCTTGGGGCAGAAAACGACCTGTGACCTTTCCGGAAACAAGTGACACTGCAAATAAATGACTAGCTCCTCCCAGAGCAGACTCAGGAGCCCTGAAGACTGACTAGCGCCCCCTACCCCCGCCCCCCATCCACTGGGGCTTGAGAGTCAGAACCAAGCAGGGGCCATGGAGCCGGCCGGGCCGGGCTGGGCGGGGTTGGGGGGGTCCAGGAGGCAGGCAGGGCAGAGGGGGACTCACCACGATGATGTTCTCATGCTCCTGGGTGGTCAGGTTTGTGTTCTAAAGAGCAGGACAGAGAAAAAGGAAAACACAATCAAGAAAACAGAGTCTGTGTTCCAAAGGCCCAGGGGATCTCAGAACCTTGCCCCCCCGCCCCCCCCCGCCCACCCCCCCGCCATAGCAGGCACGGTGGCTAAGCCGTGGGGCCTTTGGTGAGATTCAGCTTCTACCCTGGCCAAAGGGGAAGCTGGTGTCTATCCTGGCCGGCCCTCTGTGAGGACTCTGCCCAGGAGCCAGCAGGCCGACTCACAGTACACAGGAGTGTGGGACACAGGTGTGTGGGACACAGGTGTGTGGGACACGGGTGAGTGGACTTTCTACGCGCCTCCACGTAGCACCAGGTGGTGTTTTACCACGGTGCCTCAGTGGTTCTCAAAAGAGGTTCCCACGGAACCCTGGTGTTCCGTGAGTGGGCCCGAGATGTCGCAGCTAACCTCAAATTCCAGCAATAGACTTGCAAAAACAAAATTAGTTTGAATAAATTCGTTGACATTTCAGCGCTTTTCTAGTACTCCTCTCCAGATACCTGGCAGAGATGTGCTCGGGGTCCAGATCAGAGCATCTCCTGTGACACTGACCATGTGTTCCACAGGCTCCGTGTCAGGCAGGCCTGGTGCCAGGGCCCAGCCAACGACACAGGGCCCTGCCCTCCAATGCCTGGCCCACAGCTGGCTACAAGACACACCGGCCACCTTGGGCACTGCTATACCTGACGGTGGTACCAGGGAAGACCAGACAATGTGGTCTGCAGAAGAAAGAGCCAGGCAGCTCGGGGTGGAATTCCCAGCCCAACACGGTGGGCTGGGCAGGTCCCTTGGTATCCCTTGGCCGCCGTTTCCTTATGTATGAGATGAAGACAGCAAAGCTGCCTTGTGGACAGAATGGGAACATGGGAAGGGGCGCCGTGCGTGGGGCCCCGGCACCTGACTGGTGTATTTCCTTTCTCCAGGTGAAAGGCCTGAACTTGGGACTGGGCGCTGGACATGGGGTGTGAGTCAGCTTAGTATCTGAGCTTTCCTCCTCTGTGGAACAGAACGAGACCAGCTCCCCTGAGGGCGTCTCCACTGCCACCGTTCTGCACCCTCTGCCCGGTCTCCTCCCAGGCGAAAGAGTGTCTATCAGCACTGCAGAATGGGTGCCTGCACTGAGGGACGGCGGGCAGGCCTGGGCCTGCAGGATGGACAGCAGGGAGTGTGCGGGAGAAAGAGCAGAGTATGCAGGAGGGACCTGGGGAACTGTCATCATGTGACGGCGACTCGGTTAAATCTCCCTCGGGGTCCCCAGGGGCCAGGCAGGCAAGCAGGGATGTTTGTAGAAGGCTGACAGACAGCCGTACTAGAACACAGCCAGGAAGGCAGTGCACATGGCGCCTGGCATGCAGGGCCATGTCTAATGTGGAGCCGCTGGCAGAGCTGAGGGTGCTGCCTGATGCTGGGCACAGTGGCTGAGTTTTCTGAATGTCTTATTGTTTAAAGAGAAAACCTAGAGTACTGGGAAGGTGGCTCAGTGGTAGAGCGCTTGCCTTGCATACGCGAGGCCCTGGATTCAATTCCTCAGCACCACATAAGCAGAAAAAGCCCGAAATGGCACTGTGGCTCAAGTGGTAGAGCGCTAGCCTTGAGTGAACAGAAGCTCAGGACAGTGCCCAGCCCCTGAGTTCAAGCCCCATGACTGCCTCCCTTCCCCCCCAAAAAAAGTGAGAGAACCTAGAATTCCCATTTGGCTGTGCAATCTCCTGTTACTTTTTTCTTTCTTTTATTAAATCCTGAGTCGGGTACACAAAGCCCAACTGTGGCTGCGTGGGGAGATGAGGGGCCGGTAGAGCTGTGCCAGGCTACGGCCAGGTGTCACTGATGTGCTTCCTGCACAAACCACCAGAGGATCCCGGAGTTGGCATCTGTTGCTGGTGCCGAGGCTGCTGCTACCAGCCCTACTAGCCCTGACTCTGAGTCTGGACAAGCCCTAGGCAGTGAAGCTCAGACAGCCAGAGCAAGAGAGCCTCCATTGCCACCTCCTCCTCTGCCAGCAGAGCTCCGGATGCAAATGCAAACTTCAAAGGGGAGATGCACAGGGAACTGGTGGCTCCCACCTATAATCCTAGCTACTCAGGACGAGATCTGAATCTAGGCTCAAAGCCAACCTAGGCAAGAAAGTCTTTAAGACTCTTACCTGTAATTAACCAACAGAAAATCAGATGTAGGGCTATGGCTCAAGCTTAAGTAAGAGACAGTGCCTAGGCCCTGAGATCAAGCCCCAGTCCCAGGTCATACACAAAACAGTGTGTGCATGGGAACAGAGGCAGAGTGGAGTGGAGGAGGGCCTCACCTCTGACAGCAGCTTCGAGACAATTTCCAGGGGGGCTTGGTTGATGGAGTCGTCCTGAAGGGGAGACGTGAGGGCCATGTCCACGAGCGTCCGGATCTCTTTCAAGACAACTTCCCAGCGGCTTGGGTTGCTCAGGACTTTCTTGTATTTGTAAATCTTTTTCTGGGTGGGAGACACAAGGAGATACGACTTAAGAAGGGCAGAAGACTCGAGATGACATGAGGAACAGACGCGTGAAGAAGGGACCAAGGCACAGGGTGCAGACAGCCGAGCTCCTAACACCAGAAGGGCAACCTCCACACCGATCTCAATGGCTTAAGAGAAAAGAATTCTTCTCTTTCCAATCGTCTCTTCCGCCAATCTTTACAGCACGTATGGGGTATTCTGGGTGTGCAGGCCGGGCTGCAGATGCTGCCTCTGAGGTTCTCAGCGGTCCCCCGGAAAGCAGTAACACAACAGGATGGCCAGGATGAGGGCCAGGACAGGCCCGAGCCCAGGACAGCCCCAGAAAACCTGGGGCTCTCTCAACACAAACATGGCAAGGAAGACAGGAGCATGCGCACCTCCGCTGGCTTCCAAGGCCAGAGTGGTGGGGTGGGGGCTGCTGTCTCTCAGATTTGAGGCCAAGGCAAGTTCCGCCTCTCTGACATCATGGAAACAGAGGTCGGAAGGCGGAGGTCCTGGCAAGTCTCCCTCCCGTCTCCGTCTCCGGAGCTGCCTGCCCCGCTGCTGCCTGGCCTGCAGGGACACGCCAACTGGATGGACTCATCATTAAGTGCCCCGCTCCTTGGGGACAGCCCCAGCAGCCAGCTGGGGTGACACGGCACAGTCTCTGAGCCTAAGTCTGAAGGAGGGGAGGGGTGGAGAGGAGAGGAGGGCTCCCCCTGACTGCCAAGGCTCGAGCAGAAGCTCGCAGGCCTCCGCAGTCCCACCGAGCCGTTTCTGAGTTAAGAATCAGGAAGTGATTGAAGAAAGCACAGCTAAAGATGGAAGTACCGGAAGAAAAATTCCATATCAGATTCGATCGATAACTGGCAGAACGGGAGGATGAGTCTAGAGTCGCCCATACTTGGAACTTCCCATAAAGCCTGGGGTCCCTCACCTGTCAACTGGGCACAAGCGCCACACCCCGCCCATCAGCATGTAACTCGAGTAATTCCTGGACAGAGTTCACTTCCTGGATGGAGTTGCATCTTCTCTTCTACAGTCCAGGTTCAACAGACAACACAAAAGAAGCTCTGATACTTACATCTCTGAAAAACCACCCAGGCACAAAATGCAGAGGCTTTTCTTTCTCGCCATTGTTTACAACCTGAGCCACCATGCCCCACCCTCTCCTGTCACCAGTCCACCTCTTTCCTCTTGGTCTCCTGCTCCTCTCAGACCCTGCAAAGCAGGGGAAAGAGGCTGCTGAGGTAAAGTCCGAGGTGTCAGGGGTAGGAATGGAGGGAACTGGAAACATTTCCACCCTTCCAGGGCTGGAAGAATTGCAAGGGGTGCAGCTAGCTCTGAGTGAGGACATGATGGGTGTCTGCCTTGGTGACGTGACACACCTGGTCCCCAGAGGCATCCCTGAATGGTAACTAGCACCTTCCAAGTTACTATCAACGAGGCCACACTGGGCAGAGCCCCTGCCTTCACCTTAGATCACAGCAGGCAGGCACAGCCCAGGGTGCCCAGGTGCCCTCCCACCCCACCCCCGCAGGAGGATCTCAGGCACTCAGCATGTGAGCAGTCCTTGCACCTGGGAACGAGGCTGGGCTTTCATCTGCACCCAAAGAACCATGTAATTTTCAAACAACTCACCATACCTACTGAGTCCCAAAGAAAGCTACAAGGAGACTGAGGTCTGAGGATCGTGGTTCAAAGCCAGCCCAGCCAGGGAAGTCCATGAGACTATCATTAACCACCAGAAAACCTGAAGTGCTGCCGGGGCTCAAAGTGGTAGAGCACTATAGCCTGGAGTACAAAAGCTCAGGGGCAGCGCCCAAGCCCGAGTTCAAGCCCTGTGACCAACCAAAACAAAAAGGCACAAGGATCTGCTCCCAGACGGTCCCACAGAGGACGCTACTCAAGTGTGGTCAGCGCTCTTAGTACCCATTCTGCTGGTTAGCATTAAGTCATTTACTCTGGAAAGAAGAATGACTTCATTCTTTTACAAAGATGATGCATGCTCATTATAAAATATTTAAACCATATTGAAAAGCATAAAAGGGAGAATGACTTAAAAGACCTCAAAAAAGCCCTTAACCCAGAAATAGCCATCATTAATATTTACTCAGCATCATTCCAAACTAGCCCTCACTTAAAGGCTGCAAAGTAGACTGGCATCGTGGTGCATTTCAGAAATCCCAGCACTGAAGAGAATGAGGCAGGAGGATCTTGAGTTCCAAAGGAAGGGGGGGGGGGGGGGGGAAGGGGAGAGAGAGAGAGACAGACAGACAGACAGACAGACAGACACCCTGTCTTTCTAAACAAGAAAACCCAGCCTGCAGGACCAGAGGTAACAAGTCAAAGCAGGACCCACCAGCAATGCCCACACTAACATGGTATCTCTGACCCAGCTCGGTGCTCACCAGCCACCCACCTCTGTGGTCCGGGAGGGTGACGGCTTTCTGAGCACACTGGGGCACTTGCTTCAGCAATGTCATCGAACCCTGGGCACCAGGTGTGAGCACATACCAGGTGCCAGGACTTCTGAGCTGCAGCATGCCATAGATGAAGGCCCCCTGGGAACAGACTCTAAGACAAGGGACTGAGTGCAAATGGCGCGGGCGGCTGGCAAGTGCTCCCCTGCTCAGTCCTGCTGGGGCAGAGAGAAGATCCACCTGCAAGTTCACCGTTCCAAAGCAGGGAGGTGGGTGCAGGGCACTGGCCGGGGCTCCCCTTACTCTTCAGCATGCATACCACCCAGGTCAAGATGGCCTCAGAGCCACACCCCTGCACACGCGGGGGTCCTGGTGCCAGTAAGTGGTGGTGCTGGGGTAGTGGGCAGCTGCAGCGCTCGCCATGGGACTGTGATACTCCCCCCCCCGCCCCCACTGCAAAGGACAAGGGACTCGTCCAGGCCCAGCAGGAGACGAGGAGACAAGGCACGAAGCAAAACTGGTGCCAAGCACCCTTCCTCTTTTGGTCACATGTGTCAGGCAGAGGCAGGTGTGGCAGGTCCTCACACACCAAAGGCGTGAGGAATGCCTGGCGGAGGGCGCTGCAGGCAGACGAGCCCCGGGCTCTAAGAGCCAGACATCAGGGACGGGCGTGGGGCAGAGTGAAGGGCTGGTGGGAGCAGCAGGTGAAGGGGCGGCCACGATGTCACAGGTGTAGGGCATCCCAGAAGAGGCCCCGGACCCCGGGACACACAGAGGCGCCTGTCCAGGGCCACGGGGCCTGGCCCCTCCCAGGTGACACCGGAGCATGTCTCCTGGCAGGCAGTGCCTCAGGATGGCCTGGGCCTGGACTGTGGCCGGAACCCCGAATCCCAGGCTCCCTGGAGCTCTGCCCTGGAACTGTGCTCTTCTAGCCAAGCCCCCTCTGCCAGGAGGATGCATCGTTGGGTGGTGTGTGTGGTGTGAACTCTGCAGACCCTTGCATTCCTTTGAGCCTGGGAGCTGCCTGCGGCTGTACACACGCTGACGACACACACTGACTCAAAGCAGCTGACACGCTACAGCACATGGCCAGGCTCAGCCCCCTGTCTGTCTGTCTGTCTAGGACAACACCAAAAATGGTCCCATAGGTTTTCTAAGAGTTCTGGGGTGTGTGTGTGTGTGTGTGTGTGTATGTGTGCGCGCGCGCGTGTGTGTGTGTGTGTGAATAAGCAGCAGAAACTGAACGTGGCCCCCACTCCAAAGTGTGTGTGTGTGTGTGTGTGTGTGTGTGTGTGTGTGTGTGTGTGAATAAGCAGCAGAAACTGAATGTGGCCCCCACTCCAAAGTCGCTATCTGGCCCTTCGTAGAGAAAGCTTGCCTCGTTTCAACTCACAAGGTCAACGGTCTGCCTGGGGGTCAGCATACAAAAAAGATGCTCACCTTGTTACCCCCACTCCCAGCCCCCGCTGACATGGTAGAGGACGTAAAGATGGAGTATATTTGACTTGGATTGTGTAAAATGGATAATGAATGATTTTTAAGATATAAATGTAAGTGTGCTGTGGATAAGGCTTCCCTGGTAACTTTAGTTAGTAACTGTAATTGTAACTCCGTAACTCCATAACCCTGTAACTCTGCTTCTGCTGGTTTCTGAGCAATGGGAGCCCTAACCCAGCGGGCCATCACCACCCTTTGTTCTATGCCCCTGCTTCCCACATGCAAAACCTTGGCCCTGCCCTATCCCCAAATGCTTAAAAGCCCCTATGGGCCGGCCCTCGGGCCGCTTCCTGGGATCCCAGCTCCAGGTGAGGTCCTGGCGTGTCAGCACTTTTCACTCAATAAAATCTTTTACATTTTCACGGCGGACTGAGTGGTCTCACTACCCGTCCCCTCTACACCGCCAGGGAAATGCACATGAAAGCAATAGAGAACCAGCCCAGCAACTCACATCTGTAATCCAAGCAGGAGGCTGAGATCTGAGAAACATGCTTTGAAGCCAGCCTGGGCAGGGAAGTTACTTGAGACGCTTCCTCCAATTAACCAGTAAAAAGCCAGAAGTGCAACTGTGGCTAAAGTGGTAAAGCACCAGCTTTGAGCAAAAAAGCTAAGGACCAGGCCCCAAGTTGAAGCCCTAGGACTAGCATAAACAGCAACAAAAGAATATGTCTGTCTATTGAGCTCCATCTCACAGTCCCTAACGCAGCTGGGATGGAAAAGACAGGCCACAGCATGTTGGGAAGGAAGCGAGAAACGGACCCTTGTGCTGGTGGGAGGTAGACTGTGCGGGAGCCACACTAGACACTAGTTTCAGTTTATTGAAATGCTAAAACATCAACTCACAGCTCAGAAACTGTCCCTCGAATCTGTCCAAGAGAAGGAAAAACGTACTCTATACAAAGACCTGGGCACTGCACCCTGTGTGCACCCATCCATCGACAGAGAAACAGGGTGCGGTGGAATATCTAGCAAGGAAAAAGACAGCATTCTTTCTATGGCAATGCAGGTGGACCCACACCTGTTATGCCAAGTAAAGATGACACACTGGTGATTTGCTTCATACAAAACATATGGAAA